TATCCTGAGACCCCGCCCGGGTTATGTGCCCAAAGTTCCTACCACTCCCTTTAGAGATCAGGTAGTAATCCTGCAAGCGCTGCCCCGGGAGGAGGCAGACCCAGCCCTGTCCTTACTTTGTCCAGTTCGCGCTCTGCGCATTTATGTGGACCGTACTCAGAACTTTAGATCTTCTGAGCAGCTCTTTGTCTGTTATGGCGGACGGCAGCAGGGAAGTGCCGTGTCTAAACAACGTTTATCCCACTGGATTGTGGAGGCCATTTCATGTGCTTATTTGAGCAGAGGTCAGCCACGCCCCCCGGGAGTGCGTGCGCACTCCACTCGGAGCGTTGCATCCTCTTGGGCGTGTGCGCGCGGCGCTTCTTTAACAGACATTTGTAGAGCTGCGGGCTGGGCGACACCCAACACATTTCAAGATTTTATAATCTGCGAGTGGAGCTGGTTTCCTCAAGGGTGTTAGGGACCTTTGGTGATTGAGGAAACAACTCGGTAGGTGTTGTACACGCTTACGGTGCCTTTTTTCCCTAACACGGAGAGATGTGCACCCTCCTGTCTGTCAGTAAAGTTCCCCATTCGGTGAGCCCTGCAGATTCCTCCGAGGCCCCCAGCACTGACTCAGCGGAGGAGTCACTTGCTGGCCCACTACGTTGTAGGTCTGCCTGCTGGTCAGCCCGCGTTTTGGGTATAGGTGCCTGCTATGGCCGATCCCCGCTGGTGATCCCCATATGCTTTTCCGCCACGGTTAAGTTCCCCCGCCTGGGTGGACCCGTGCTTTCCCTATCTGCTAACCACCTTCTTATGCGCACTCCCCCTTCTCAGGGTTAGTCCATATGTAATTCCATTTGTTTCCCCTATTGGGTGCGGATGGTCTCCGCAGCGTCCTCCCTACTGGGATGCTTCCCAACGTACTGTCGTATATTCCTAGAATTTTCTAGACGCTAGCGACTCCCAAAAAAATATACCTATTCCGTAAAACTTCTTTTGAAGTGGGATAAGTTTGGGCCAAGGGCACGTTGGAGGACCGCGCCTCTCATGATCTGGGTGCGTCACGCTTGCCTGACCGTTCTCTCATGATGGGTGTTGGTAAGGTGCAGTCATTATGGCGCTTTCAATGGGCTCCCATACGTGGATTAGTAAATCAATCCACTTATAGTGCTGGAGTTCCCCCCGAAGGGAAACGTTCGAGGTTACTAAAGTAACCCTTCTATACTCCATCGCCATAATGACTGTCCCTTAGCTGTTAAAAGTCTCTTCAGCTTAAAAAGGATAGCGTCTGCTGGCGCCAGGTGTGCTTACATGCTCAGTTAATTAAGCCTATGCAGCGCACCTGCGCAGGCTTGCGCTGCCAATTCATTCTTAATTGGCCCGTTCAATACTCTTTCAGACGAGTAGCTTCTGAACTGAATCTCCCATACGTGGATTAGTAAATCAATCCACTTATAGTGCTTCCTTTCCCCTCCTCGGGGAACGAAGGGTTACTTTAGTAACCTCGAACGTTTTCTTGTTCCTGCTTCTAAAAAACATTTCCACAGCATGATGCTGCCACCACTATGCTTCACTGTAGGGATGGGATTAGCCTGGTGACGAGCGGTGCCCTGTATTCTCAGAACAAAACGCCTGGCTTTCACTCTGAAGAGTTAAATTTTAGTCTCATTAGACCAGATAATTTTTTTTATTTCTTATAGTCTGAGTTCTTCTGATGCCTTCTGGCAAATTCCAATACTAAGGAGCGGCTTCCGTCTGGCCACTCTACCATACAGGCCTGATTGATAGATAGCTGCACAGATGGTTGTCCTTCTGAAAGGCTCTCCTCTCTCCACAGAAGAATGCTGGAGCTCAGACCGAGTGACCATTGGGTTATTGATCCCCTCTCTGACTAAGGCCCTTCTCCCCTGATTACTCAGCTTATATGGCCGGCCAGCTCTAGGAAGAGTCCTGGTGGTTCCAAACATCTTCCACTTATAATGGAGGCCACTGTGCTCATTGGAACATTCGGAACAGCAAAAATTTTTCTATAACCTTCCCCAGTCTTGTGCCTTGAGACAATCCTGTCTCGGAGGTCTACAGACAATTCCTTTGTCTTTGGTTTGTGCTTTGATATGCACTGTCAACCCTTGGACCTTATATAGACAGGTGTAAACCTTTTCAAATCATGTCCAATCAACTAAATTGACCACAGGTGAACTCTAATAAAGCTGCTGAAACATCTCAAGTATGATCAGTGGAAACAGCATAGGCTGTCAATACTTATGTACATGTGATTTTTCTGTTTTTAAGTTATATATATATATATGAAAATTTGCAAGAATTTCAAAAGCTAAATCACATTGTCAGTATTGTGAGGAAATAATTTTTATCCATTTTGGAATAAGGCCGAAACAAAAAAATTTGGAAAAAGTATGCAATCTGAATGCACTGTATATTCACAAAGGTTTTGGAAAACTTTGCAGTATGCATACCACAGTATTTTAAGGTTAACATTATTAGCCTCCTAAAGCAATTTTTTTTGTGTTTGTCTACAAAACAAACCACTGTTATACAATGACTTGCCTGTTATCCTATCCTGCCTAATTAACCTAGTTAGGCATTTAAACTACACTTTAAGTTGAAAACTAGTATCTTGAAAAAAATCTAGTAAAATATTATTTACTGTCATCATGGCAAATAATAAAGATAATAATTATCTTTAGAAAGGTTGAAAAAAATCTCTCTGTTTAATAGAAATTGGAGAAAAATATATAGATGGGCTAATAATTCTGACTTTAACTGTATATCTGCAGGCAGATACAGTGACAATAAAACATATGAAGTCACTTTGGTTTGAAAAAAAAAAAAAAAAACATGTCAGCACAACAACTCTTCATTAAAAATGGAATTACTATTTTCCAGAATATTGTCATGTTTCCTCATCTCATGCACTGAGTGGCCACTCAGCTGACTGAAACTGACAGAATGTATTAACATCAGCCTAGCATAACGGTTTCCATGCCACTCAAGAGAAAGAGACAGTGTACAATGCCACAGGAGACATCACATAAGCACTGACATAACCAATTGCAGGATCAGGGGAAGAGTTATGCTAGGCCTCCTAAACCCTTGCAAGTAATAATTTGTTGTCTGACAGCCGAGGCGGGTAACCTGGACATGCTGCAATTTTCTGCTGCCGCTAAAGCCTTGATTTATTGGTGCAGGAGGAATACGGAGGAAGTCGCTATAAAGAGGTTTCAAGAACCTCTTAAATCAAAGGAAGAAGTTAGTTTAGAGGTAAAAGATTTGTAAAAGTTATAAACTTTTGTAAAAATGTCCATTAAATGTGATTTTGAAAAAAGGCTTAGTGGTTGTTATACACTCAACAAAAATATAAACAACACTTTATTCTTGCTCTCATTTTTTATGTGTATCTCTGTTATCTCTGTGCATGACAGCTTGTTACAGTTCTTACAAATATCCAGCAGCTTTGCACAAACAAATGGTGGTCACACTAGATACTGACTGGTTTTCTGTTTTTTGTTGAGTGTATATACTTCAACTTGGAATGGGTATAATTAGTGGCAGTCCTAGCTTTAATAGCACCCTGGGAACCCAAACCCCCCCCCCCCCCCCCCCCCCCCCATCCTCCCATGTAAGGTTACATCTAGTTAATATAAAAAAGGACCATTAAACATGTACATTTTTAAAAAAAAAAGTTTGTTTTACCCATATTTTACTTTGGGTAAAATATGGACAAAACTAGAGATGGGTTGCTGGTTATGATAAGTTGGCCGTTCATTCCACTGTGGCGACCTCAGGTTAATAAAGGGACTAAGCCGAAAAGAAAATGAAATTATTATTGTTGTTGTTGTTGTTGTTGTTATTATTATTATTATTAATATTATTATTACAGTCGTTATTGTTGTCGTTATGCAACTATTATTCTAAATAAATAACAGAAATCAATACTAAATGTAACTGGAAAACAACATAAAGACAAAACTGGAATGATATGCTAAGATCACTTGAGAAATCTTTTGCATGAATATTAATTTTGATAATTCTATAAAATACAAAAATAATAATAAAAGGTTTTATAGAATTATCTGCTCATCTTAGACTCGGCTCAAGGCCAAGAATTCTATTTATAATAGTCTTACTTCCCTGACTTTTTATCCCTACTTTCTGCTTCATTGCCATGCTTAGTCCAAATAAGATTATCATCATATTATATAAACTTTTTGTTTTGTCAACTAGCAAATCTCACTGCAAAACACCTCGTGTCATGAAGTATGAGCATGAGCAGCGCATGTTTTTATCGGCGCGCATGTAAACAACTGGGATTCACACTGTGATCAGGAGCAGCGTGTGTGAGGTGCCCTAACACAATCTCACGGCAATTCTTAACTTTTTTATTTAGTGGCTAATTCGTATGAATTTGTACGATCTAATTTGTACAATTCGTAATTCAAACAATTTAGTAGCAATCGCTCATATTGCCATACCAAAATCCGTCACTGGGATGGTTGAGTTGATCTTAACAGATAATTTTTCAGAAATTGGCGGCACAATAGCTCAATGGTTAGCACTGTCGCCTCACAAGAAGATCGCCAGTAGGCATTTCTCTGTGTAGTTTGCATGTCCTCCCTGTATTTGTGTCCAAAGACACGCGCTATAGGTGAATTTAATAAACTAAATTGGCCTTAGTGTATGAGTGTGTGTGAATGAGTGTGTATGGTTGTTTCCCAGTACTGGGTTGTGGCTGAAAGGACATCTGCTGCATAAAACATATGCAGGAATAGTTGGTGTTTCATCCCGATGTGGCGACCTCTGAAATAGAGACTAACCTGAAGGGAAATTATTGAATAAATGAATTTTTGAAAATTTCTCCATAAGCACTGGTCATCTTAGGAGAAAGTATATTTTACTAAATCATTTATTTTCTAGGATGCAATTTAAGCTTAATTTATCTCCTCCTGGTCATGATCAGTGTGGTTTCAGTCCAGATCGTCTTGTTTTTCTGTTTTCAGATGCGGATGTGGTATCAATGGCGGACTCTACTATCACAGTTGGTGACATTGAGGGTGAACTCTGTAAGATTGAACGGATAAGAGACATTTTGATAAGGAGGGAATCTGAACTCCGATACATGTGAGTAAACTGTAAATAGTTGTATACTGTGCACTGTGAAAATGAAAAAACAAAACTGAAAATGTTTCATTGCTGTTACAAATGGTGTTACAAGAGATTAACTTAATGTTAAATGTTAGTTTCAGGGATTGTTTAGCTTTAATTAAGATTGCATCTGAAATAAAACAAACTATAAATAAGAGAGTTTGTTTAGAGAATGTTTAAAGAACTGTTTTCAAGTTATTAGTTTGGGAGCACTTTAAGCCTTCAATTGAGCAGCACAAGAGAAGGCACTCTGTTCTATCATGTTTGGATTGAGGCTGGTAAAGAATAAATGAATCAGCAAAGAATCAGCAAAACATAAGAAGGAACCAAATCATAAACAACTGTATTAGAACATGTTTAAATGCAAGGTTCAATTGAACTGGGAAAGTTCAAACTTTGCAAGTTTAATATGGTTAAAAACTCCTGAGGACACATTGGATGAATCTTCAAAGGTAACAGTGTACTTTATAATGTCATTTACATCACCCAGGTTACGTTGTATCACTATCTTAACAACAAAATTAAAACATGATATAAGGAAATGTCTATTTTCATTTTGATATTAACAAAATGTCAAGGCATCATGTAGCTACATAGTTATATATTTACGGTATGCATATTTAACTGCATGCAAATTTATAACAAAACAGAGCCTATAACATAACTGCCTCTTTTTGTTATCATTGAAAAATTTAAAACACTCCCTGTCACTTTTTGCTGAATATTAGTTAATAATCAATAATGGCAATTAATAATACAATAAGTTTATACAATACAGGAAATAAAGGCAAGCAATCGATGAGATCCAGTGGTAAAACCTTTATGAAATGTCTGACGTACACTGCTCTCACCTGGGGAGGTGTGCTCAAAAAACCTATTGACTTTCTGGGGCTCAGTCGTCCACATTTTCAGCTGTGTAGTGTGGACGGAGATCATTACAGAAACGCTAGGTGAAACGCTAGTGTGGATGTGGATTTGTGTCCGTTCTGAAACCAATTTAAAACTAAAATGTAAAAGTTCTGAACATATTGTAGTCTAGATTTTGCTGGTAAACCTTGAAAGAGAGAATTGCAGTTATCAACCCTCAAAGTTATTAAACCATGAAAAGGCCTACTAGCAGAACTGGAAAGGAAAGACCTAATCCTAGCAATATGTCTAAGATGATAAAATGCTGATTTAGTAATCACAAATATCGAATAGCCATCAAATATCACACCTAAAGAGTAGAGTTGCAAGACAACAGAACTAGACTAAAAGAATTGTGCATTATGCAAAGAAAGAAATAAAGTGTTGGAGGGCAACAAATAATTTAAGTGCTGCAGGTCAATCAGAAGTTTCTTCTTTGTTTCTGTTTAATGTTATTGTGAAGCTTATGTATTCTGAGATTGTACTCTATAACCCAAATTCTGTGCTGCCCTATACTGTAGCTTTCTTTCAGTGGCTTTAGGCCATCAACAATGTCTTTTTTTAGTCAGAACTCTTTTCACACCACAGGACTTTGAATCGTGACAGGCCAACGATTAAGTTTCAGCTTTTGTACCATTAAGTTTCAATGCATCTATTCCTTTATGCCTTGTAGACATTAGCAATGTTTCCATCCAAAAATGTGAATTAAATTTATGCGCATTACTTGAATATCACATAAAAGATGTGCAAATAAAGCAGCATTCCCATTCAACGAGTAAACGTAGTAAAAACAGAAATTTGCTGCGGTAGGAGAAGCTGCATCAATCTTTTCTTTATTCAATAAATAACCTCAGAAGACAATGCTGACACGCAGTGAACGCGTGGTGGCATTTGAAGACACAGACACTCTTGGCAAATCTGCAGGTAATTAATAATATAATAACACTAACACTGATGTTTTAGAATGACCAAAACAAGATGTTTTACAGTGTGCTCAGCCTGCTTTTTTCCGTTCATCCACATTTTAATCATCACATGATCTCTTATAACAAAATCACATGACTTTTTTTAACAACCCAGGCTCATTGTGGAAACGTAGTCCCGCGGACGTTTCTGAAGACCGCGTAATACTGTTGTGCGCTTTTTCGCATCTCAGACGCCTCTCGCGAGTGCGGTTCGTGCCCGCGCTGTTCTCACGTGAATCCACCAGAGGCCACTGTCCGACTGACCGGATGATTGACTGCACGACCAATTGGCTGACCCACCCTCCTCCATCCCTGAACCCAACCAATTTTACCGATCGACCCGTCCGCCCGCTCGCTTCCCTAAACCCAAGCAACAGTTTACAAAAAGCCGTCCAAAAAAAGAAAACCCCTGATTTTTTTTCTTTTTCTACCGCGTTTTCGGATTTCACCGTGTTCTCACCCTGTTACGAAACTCGTCCACTTAATTTTTGGGATTCTGTTTTTGTCTTACCTGATTGCTGGAACAGCTCTTCCCCAGACTTGAAACCTGAGTGGACAAACGGGTTGCAGTGGGGAAGCCCTCCACAAGGAGGTAAGCGGTCGGCCGGCCGGCCGGCCGGCAAGCACGGTAGGGAACAGCGTCACACCGCCCCGCAGCGTTTGCTTGAAAAAAATTAACACGGCCGTAAGTACCTGCCGGGACGTATTCCGCTGTCTCCAAAAATGTCCACGGGACTACGTTTTCAGAATGAGCTTGGGTTGTTTTTTAATGCACATGCTGGAATTTGTTTGATGAAAGTGATTCCATAATAGTTTATGTGCATATCTTCTATCGAATAAAAAGTTTATCCTACTGTGTAAAAAAATTATACGTGTTTCCATCAACCGTTCCAATTGATGGCATTTCCATCAAGTGTTTTATTATGCATATATTGACAATGAGTGGATGGAAACGTAGCTAGTTTGAAAAGAATTTCAAACTAACTGAAACATCAGACTGTGAACTGATGTAAAAATGTATAAGTTTTTTTTTTTTCCCTGTTGTGCCCAGGGGCAGACTCGCCATCTGGCAGACCGGGCAGTTTCCCACTGGGTCGACGTACTTTTTGGGCCGGGCTGATCATCTTCTTATGATCTGATCGGCCCATAAAACACTTAGCAGACTGTTATGTTTTTCTGTCTAAGTGATTGACGATCCTGTGAGCTGTGACGCTCTGAAAGTAAGATGTTTCTTTTCCGGACAGGGCAACCCATTGGTTCTTTTCTTTATTGACAGACCCAGACCCAATCACAAACTTCCATGTTGGGCTCTGTGTAAGCGTGCAACGTAGGTGTGTATTTGTCAAAATAATCGAGAGTCACGCTTGTTTCTCATGTGTGGGATAGCAGAAGCGGCGAGCGGCATTCGCCTTTTGCGTCTGCACTCTGCAGCGTGCAGCGGAGCACAGATCAATATATTCCTGTCTATTCTATCTAGTTTCCTATCTGTCCATATTCATTCATTCATTTTCTTGTCGGCTTAGTCCCTTTATTAATCGGGGTCGCCACATCGGTATGAACCACCAACTTATCCAGCAAGTTTTTAAGCAGCAGATGCCCTTCCAGCCGCAACCCATCTCTGGGAAACATTCACACACACAATCACACACACACTCATACACTACAGACAATTTAGCTTACCCAATTCACCTGTACCACATGTCTTTGGACTGTGGGGGAAACCGGAGCACCCGGAGGAAACCCACGCGAAGGCAGGGAGAACATGCGAACTCCTTGCAAATTTTCAATTGTTTAAGTTCATTTAATTGACAATGTAAAATCTTTTAGCTACTGTACGTTTGATGTTTCATTGTTGAGTTAAACATTTTTAAGGGTCTCTGATACGTTGCTTTTATTATTGTTCTTTATTTTATTAATCAACATTAAGGGCCCTATCATACACCCGGCGCAATGTGGCGCAAGACGCGGCACAATACTTGTTTGCTAGTTTCAGCTGGTCTAAAAAGGAAGGCGTTCTGAGGCGTTCTGAGGCGCACTGCTGGCACAATGCTATTTTGAGAAACTATAATAGATTTTTCATTAGACCAAAACAAACTCGGTCTAAACTCCGGCGCAGAGTTGTGCCTCGCTTACACACTGCTTAATAGCCTACACACAAATGTAGAGCAATATGCAAATATCTTTACATATAAAAAAAAAAATAAATGTTAGGGATAGGCCTATATATAGGACATAATAGTAATATATATATATATATATATATATATATATATATATATATATATATATATATATATATATATATATATATATATATATATATATATATATATATACATATATATACATATTTATATATGATATAAATATAAAGGATTAAAACATTACAAAACATATTATTTTCTAGCCTACATAAATATGAAAAACCACAGTTTTTTTTTTTTTGCCTTCTTCATCTCGGCTTTTTCAGTTCATTCATAACAATTTGCTTTTTGTATAATGTTATTATTATTAGCAGTATTATTTATTAGATCCATATTTATATTTGTTTTTTTTAAAACAAGCTTAGATTTGCCCACCTGCAGGTTTTAGACCATATGGGGCACATCATGTGTATTAGGATATAACTCAGGTTTTTGAGCACACTTCGTTATTATTGTTCATTTATTCGTTTGCTGGAAATTAGAACTGAATTTAGAAATAGTTTTGAAACAAATATTTGCGCTTAACAAACGAAATTAATTATTTATAGGCTAATTGATGTCTGTGCGTAAAGGTTTCCCTATCCACGAGAGCGAAAGTGAAAGTAGATCCATTATCTCTCATTCTTGCTCAGCAGATGCTCTGTTTAACTGTTTTCTGGTAAAAAAAAAAAACTGTTACTGTTTGCTTGTGAAATGTTCAGTTTTTTCACTTACTTTTTACATCCTGTAAATAGCAAATGCGCTTATGGTGCGACGCAAGGCTCTTAAAGGGAATGGGAGATGAGACTCTGATTGGTTAATTCTCAAAACACACCTATAACTCATTAAGAAAATAAACTCAACCCTTTTAGTCCATGCGCCACGGCGCAAAGCGGGTTTTCCTATCCTTAAATTAGCAAATATGAATTCTGACATGCCCTGAATGTGTTTGCGCCCTGCGCTTTACGTTTTGCGCATGGACCGTCAAAATAGAGCCCTAAATGTGTGCATCAGCAGGCAGTTTTGTTATGTTCATTATTTATTAGGCTCTCTCAAAACACACAGGCACCCACATTTCCAGTGTGGATTATAATTTTATTATAATAATAAATGAAATAAGTTTTTAACTTGTCAGCTCTTGTTTTTTCCTATATATGGCTTTTGTGCTTTTATAGAATGGGAGTTGGTAAACATATTCAAGTGTGTGCACAGATGGGAAGCATTTTGATCGATGTAGTGGGCTGCTCTGGCCCAAAATGCCAGGGCCGATTTTTTTGTCCCAGTCCAGCCCTGCAATGAGTACAATTGTTTGTATTCAATACTTTATTATTATTATTATTATTATTATTATTATTATTATTATTATTATTATTATTATTATTATTATTATCCATATCTGTATTGCCTGTATTTTGGCTTTTTTTTTTTTTTGCAGTAAACTTAGAATTCAACATGGAAATCAATGTTTTCTTTATTGGCATTGATTGTTTTGAAATTCAAATGGCACTAACATGCCTGTATTTTAATTTCTGTAATAAATATGGCTGTCAAGCCAGGATCTTTATGGTTTATTGTGGGTATGTTGTTTACATGAAGAAATCTGTGTTACAAGTTAAACAAAAATTGTAATAAACAATTGTATTTTGAATTTAAATAGTTTTTGTCTTTCCTTTACATTAATTTTACATTCAAATAGCCAAAATTACAAGTTTCAGTCTATTAAATCTGATTAATCACGATTTAATTTAAATATTAAATGTGAAATTAGAAAATAACAGACAATCAGTGGGGGTATTTTTGGGAACAAGTCCACAATCATTGAAAATAGTACACTGCCCAATGCTAAGACCAAAAAATTCAAAGAATTATAATGGCAGTAGTGTACAACTCGGCATCAGCATCTTTGCTTCAGAAATTAGATGGTCTAAAATATCAGTCCAAAACATGAATATGGAGCCTACGGCACATAATCATGCTCTGTCTCAGTGCTGCAGGTGGAAATGCAGAGGAATTTTAGAAAAAAAAAAACACCTAAAGATGGTGTACTGGTGTTCACTAAAAAGTAAACTGAGACACTTTCAGTTAAGGAAGAACTGAAAAGCTCTTGGGAAAATAATGCACAATAACAATAATTTGTGGTGGATTGTTAATATGGATTCCTAGAGAATAAGATAAACAACAATAAAATAAGTCCTACAGTGGCCTACTGTTTCAAATGCCAATAGTTGATCTGCAGGTGCACCATATAGTTATTGGTTAATTAATTAATTAATTTATTGAATGGAATAGCCCCTGAAATGAATCATCTCATTTTTGAGGGGTCCCTAAAAATGTTATAAATCACACAGAGTACAACAGATCATAACGTGCATACAACTAACGAAACAAACAACCAAAACAAACAAGCAGCACACACCACCTGAAACACTTCCCACAATCTGAAGCCTAAAAAAAATCAAAAACATATAATAATAGATACAAACAATTTGATATACAAATAATTGAAAAACATTTATTTGGAGCATTCGCATGTTGTTCCCAAAAAAGAAAATAAATTAGCCCTGAAAAGACAAAGTGATTTAATTGATCTGAAAAAGGAAGGGAGATTGTTCCAGTCAGAAGGAGCTTTGTATCGAAAGTACTTACGCCCACTTTCTGTTGCATTTCTGGGAACAAAAAATAATTATGTTGCATATGACGAAGCGAATATGATGAGGTAAATGGAACAAAAAACTGCTTTAAGTAAGAGGGAAAACTAAAATAAAAACATTTAAAAAGAAAAAAATACAAATGATTTCCTTTATTGATGAGGAAAGATACCTGTCTAAAGATGTCAGAGTGGCACAATACAGTATATTAGACAGAAAATGTAATAATCCTCCAGTCAAACGCTCCAGACTCCCGTCAGGGCAGCAGCAGGATGTACAGGTGCTGGTCATATAATAATAATAAAATAATTTATTTAAAAGTTGATTTATTTTACTCATTCCATTTAAGAAGTGAAACTTGTATAATGTACACATTCATTCCACACAGACTGATATATTCGAAGTGTGAAATATATTTTTATACATTTTTATGATTTTTATGACAACTATTGAAAACCAAAATTCATTATCTCAGAAAATTAGAATATTGAGAAAAGGGTCAGTGTTGAAGGCACCAGGTGCCGTATTCTAACTCAAAACACCTACCCTTTAAATGGTTTCTTGTTCTAGTTCTATTTTATCTTTTTTTGTATATTAGAATATTATAAGATATTCTAATTATATGACCAACGCTCAAAGAGTTTAAAACTGCAAAATGTGATAACTCCATTGGCTATGCAATGGATGGAAACACAATAAAGAGATATAGTACCTTATTCCAACTCTTTATCTGCATTAGATGCTTTTTTATAGTCATTAAAGAGATCATCTTCAGAGAGTTGCTGTTGCTGTCAAACAATGTTTACTTCACTGAGTCAGATTATGGTGAAGGGATTGATCCAATATGCCCTTTGAGGTTTGCGAAGAAATTTCATGCTCCCTTGTAAAGTATTTCGCAGTATTTTCAAATACAAAATACAGTATTTTATTTTGATACATTTGAGGCTACTGTATTTTGTAGTTTATTTTGATACATGTAAAATTAAGGTAGTATGTATTTTATTTTAAAATAGATTTTTAAATATACAATTTATTTTTGCCCATCCCTGGCTATATGGAATGCAAAATCTTTGAAACTCAAAATCAAAATCATTTAGAGCACATATAGAACCTTATACTTCCAAGGTGACTAATAATTAAGATGATAAGATTATGAGTTGATTGCATTAACCTCATTCGGAAAATGTAAAAAAATCTAAAAATTATTTTAAACCTTGCAAATTCTTGCTATTTTTATTGTTTTGATGTAAAACATCTACAGCTATAGGTATCATACCAGTAAAAGATGTAGCAATAAAAAAAAAAATATATATATATATATATATATATATTTGATTATTATAAGTTCATCATACTAACATATCCTTTTGTTTACACAGGATGGATGATATCCAGTTATGTAAAGAAATTACAAGACTGAAGAAAGAGCTTCAAAAGCTTCTGTCTATTCCAGGTGAGTTCTGAAAACCCTCTAGTAAGTAAAATTAAGAAATACTTTTTTTAAGCTACATTTGTTTTTTATTGAAGGTAGCGATATACAAACTAAAGAGCTCTTTCTTTATTTAATTGCAAGAAGCAGCATAACAAGAGATGCCCTTCTAATTAAGTCTAGGGGCAATTTCGTTTTGCATACATTACTTAAGCGTTAGCGACGCGGTGGCGCAGTGGGTAGCGTTGTCGCCTCACTGCAACCAGTCATTGGTTCGAGACTCGGCTGGGTCAGTTGGCATTTCTGTGTAGAGTTTGCATGTTCTCTCCATGTTTGCATGGGTTTCCTCCTGGTTTCCCCCACAGTCCAAAGACATGCGCTAGGTGAATGTGGGTAAGCAATTGTGTATGTGTGTGAATGAGAGTGTGCAGATGTTTCCCAGTGATGGGTTGCAGCTGGAAGGGCATCTGCTGCTTAAAACATATGCTGGATAAGTTCAAATCAATAAAGGGACAAAGTCAAAAAGAAAATGAATAAATGAATATTTAAGTGTTCTTTTAGGGTAAGAAGTGGCTTGGCAAAAAAAATGAAAGCTATTAAAAAATGAAACATTTTTTTCAGATAATGACAAATCCAATGAAGACAAACAGAAGGAGGAAGAACTTCTAAAACAGATTCATAAATTAGTGGAGGCCAGAGATTTCCTGGTGGACGATGTGGAGTTTGAGCGTCTCAGGTGAGCTGATTTCAGCATGCTGGAAAGAATTATTGAAGCTGACACTCAATTCATTTACACCCTTTATTAAATCTCTTATTGAGCTGTTCTGAAGCAGACAGGATTCTGTCTCAGGCCTGAGAAAAAAAAAAAAAAAAAAAACATTACCCAACTCTAAGTGCAAAAGTAATAGGATTTTGTTTTTAATGAAGTCAAGAATTCTGCCTCAGCGATTTTAGGAATGAAATGCTTGCAGCATGTGCCGTTTGCCCAGTTTACTATTGAAACTGACTTTGAATCCAGGTTTTTTTCCTTGCTTTTAATAATGATAGTTTATTACCAGTTTAAATGTGGCTGATTTGTTCTTTTTATTTACTCTAAAATAATCTTTAATTTTTATATTATCAGTGTTAACAATTATGATATTTCAGCTTCATATTAAAAAGTGTCCATGAAAAAAAATCTACAGTGTTGAGAAAAGACTGCTTCGCATTAGAAATATTTTTAGTCCAGCTGCATGGTTGTAAAGAGATAATTCACCCGGAAATGAAAAAATGTTGTTAATTTAATCACCTTCAGGCTATTCACGATCCTCTTCTTTAAACACTGAAAAAAATATTCATTGGATTTACTTCAGTCAGAACTATTAGCCCCTCTGAATTATTGACACCCCTGTTTATTTTCCCCCGAATTTCTGTTTAATGAAAATAATATTTTTTTCAACACATTTCTAAACATAATATTTTTAATAACTCATTACTAATAACGTATTTCTTTTGTCTTTGCCATGATGATAGTAAATAATATTTGACTATATATTTTTCAAGACACTTCTATACAGCTTAAAGTGACATTTAAAGGCTTAACTGGGTTAATTAGGTTAACTAGGCAGGTTAGGGTAATTAGGCAAGTTATTGGAAAACAATGGTTTGTTCTGTAAACTATCAAAAAAAAAAATAGCTTAAAGGGGCTAATAATTTTGTCCTTAAAATTGTTTTTAAAAAAAATAAAAACTGCTTTTATTCTAACTGAAATTAAGCAAATAATACTTTCTGCAGAAGAAAAAAAAATCCTTGATCTGATAAACATAATTTGGGAAACATTTAAAAAAGAAATAAAAATCAAAGGGGGGCTAATAATTCTGACTTCAACTGTATATATTAAAATGTTGAAAATGAAAACCTTTTGGATGCCCTGCGAGTGAGTAAACAGAATAAACAGAACATTTTGATTTTGGGTGAACTTTACCTATAAAACACAGTGCAAATATTGTAACTTGTTATAAACCACTGTACAGTCAGCAGAATACCATAAACAAATAACGATAGGGAAATGCATAACATATGAGTGTGCATGTTACATTTTTAGACCGATTTCTCAGTAATAATACCAAACCTTGAGCAAACTGAAGGACATGAAGACCATGCATTGACAGAGAATGACACAGTCAATCTTCCCATCACCATAGTAACCTCTGCTCTACAGGGAACGGGAGGAAGACAAAGAAATGGCTGAGTTTCTAAAGTCCAAATTACCAAAAAGCTCTCAATCCAAGAGTAAGTAATTATTTAATGTTTGGCTTAATAATGTTCAGTGTTAATGCTTTGCAGAGAATATGCCTGACCTGTTTTAAATGTCTCAAATGGCTTAGCACCTGGCACATTACTTTTACATGGATTGGTAAATAATGCACTAAATAAAAACATGAAAAACTCCTCAATTTACATGTCTTACTGGTTAACTGACAAAAATAGTACATTGAAATTGCTATCAATAAAAAAACTAAATAACAATCAAAGTCAGTTAGTTAGTTAGTTAGTTAGTTAGTTAGTTAGTTAGTTAGTTAGTTAGTTAGTTAGTTAGTTAGTTAGTTAGTTAGTTAGTTTTTTATTTACAACACAACGTTGCCTTAAGTGCTGGTCACAAACTCATTCCTGGAGTGCCGCAGCTCTGCACAGTTTTGCTCCAACCCTAATCAAACACAACTGATCTAGTAGTGTCTTAGAAGTAGTAATCTTAAATATCTTGATAAGTTGGATCAGCTGTGTTTGATTAGGGTTGGAACAAAACTGTGCAGAGCTGCGGCCCTCCAGGAATTGAGTTTGTGACCTATGGTTTAGTGTATTGACGTGCAGCTTTTTGGTCCTGACGGAACCCCATGTGAGCCAACATGAGGCGACAACACAGTTGGGTTAGAATATTTAATTCATTTAGTTAATCTTCACAAACATGGCATTGGTTGCCGTGCACTATGACACAATGCACAAGAAACAATTGAACTGTTTTCAATTTGTCATTCATGCAAGGAAAAATCATTATTAATTATGATAATCTGATCATGGCTTAACGTAACAATTTCAGGTCTTGAACTCACAACTATCATGCTGATGAGTTGAATCAGGTGTGTTTTATGTAGAGACAAACTAAATGTGCACAGTTTAAAGTACTCCAGGGTCTGGATTTAGAAGCCACTGCAATAAAGCACCAATAAAACACTTTTACTGCATTTACAAATTTAGACTCTGCTGTTTTACCAGCTTCCTTGGCTGCTGGCTCTGGACTGCTCTTTATTTATCTGTCTATTGTGGACAATCTAATGTTCAGAGAATTACATAAATGGCTTTTGTCATTTATACGTCCATTTGGCAAAACACTGAGGCAAAGTAAAACAATGTCACATTTGCATTAGGCAAAGAAAATGACGGTAATATAAATATGTGGAGTAATAAGGAATTCTGTGGAGAAATTTACAGTTCAGAGTTTACAAAATAAGAAGGATAGTAAAATTCTACAGTTATAAAAAAACAAATTAAACAATAAGTTTTCACAAATATTTTAAGCTGTGATTTAAAACAATTTTTAACAATGATCAGAATTGTACTGTTTGAGTACCAGATTTTATTTCATTAATTTATTATTGAAGAATACAAAACAGCTGTTTTAAATTTAAAGATTGACACTTGATTTTACTGCTTTTTGATGAACTAATTCCAGCTCTTGGTTGAAAAATTACATAATAATAATTTTATTCTAATAGCCATATATATACACTACCTGACAAAAGTCTTGTCGTAAGTCCCAAAAGCAACAAAAAATTACTTGACTTCTAGATGATAATTTGGAAAACTGTCAGAGAGTCGATTTTTCCAATGAATAATTTCTTGATCCCAATCATCACAAATACTGCAGAAGACCTATTGGAACCCACTTGGGCCCAAGATTCTCACAGAAATCAGTCAAGTTTGGCAACATCATCAGCAACATCATCAGCCTGAGGTATTAAGACATTTGTGCTGCCCATTACATTACAAACCATAGGAGAGGGCAAATTCTTCAGCGGGACAGTGCTCTTTCTCATACTTTAGCCTACACACAAGTTCCTGAAAGCAAAGAAGGTCAGGGTGCTCCAGGATTGGCCAGCACAGTCACCAGACATGAGCATGACAAGACGATTCAGCATATCTGGGGTAAGACGAAGGAGGAGGCTTTGAAGATGAATCCAAATAATCTTGATGAACTCTGGGAGTCCGGCAAGAATGCTTTCTTTGCCAATCCAGATGACTTTATTAATAAGTTATTGCAGAGTTGTATGGATGCAGTTTTCCAAGCTCATTGGAGTCATACACAATATTCCATACTGTACATTATTTAAGTGATAAAACTTTTGTCTAAGCAAAGTCAGACCTTACTTGATTAATTAAATAATTAAAAATGAAGGCATGATCATATTTTATTTTGGTAAAATAAGAGTAATCTTGAGGCCTTTGCCTTTCATATAAGGCACTTCTGATACCAAACGATCAACTACATGTCAAGTCATTATTTGTTGTTCCTACTTAGATAGGCGACAAGACTTTTATCAGGTGGTGTATATAACAATACAAATCCAAGTGCCGTTTTTCACTCAACAGACAATTGAAACTAACTAAATATTTTCCTGCTTGACTAATAAAATTGCTTACTTCATAAATAGATCCCCTGAAGACCTCATTTAAACAAATTGCTACCATAAGCGACAATAGCAGGAGGGAAATGCCATTGCTGTCCTCCTAATCAAGAATGGAATATGAATAAAAGCTAAATTTGTTACCTCGTTAAGCTTGCTGCAAATCATTGTATCATTGTGTGTAAACTGAAACCATTTTCTGTGAAACTCTTCAATGTAGATGTTCCTCGCAGTGGGAGGAGACTCGCCAGAGACCCACAGAGTTCTACTCCCTTTGTAACCAAGACAGGCCTCACTTTGCTGAAGGAGTGCTGTGGATTCACCTGCTCTATAATGTAAAAGACACATTTTCAGCAGGAACACAACGCAATTCTAGAGCCTTGGATAAAGATGACCTTTTAATGACACCAGGAGACTCAAAGAGCATGGTGTGATCCAACACTGGAGGTTTCTGAAAGACAAAGCTACTGTATCCATTTGTATGCTAAAGAATAGCAGGCTTTTTCATTGCGTCTCTCTTCTTTCAGTTTCTTTTTCTTGCTTTAAACATCATATTTCTTTTTATTCCTCTTTCAAAGATCCTGTTTCATTCTATTACAGAGAACATTTTGTGCTCTCTCCAGAGTTCTGCTGTCAGCTGCTCAGCTGGTTTGCTGTCATTCCTTGCACTTATCTTTTTCCTCATGAGACATTGCTATAGCGCTGCAGTACCTGTGAGTTTATAATTTGTAAATGTTTACATTTCAGTAGAGATTCCATACCGACTGCAGTTTCTCAGTCAGCCCAGGTTTATTTACATATGTGTCTGTGAAAAGATATTGCTTTATGCCTGTTTCATGACAAATAAAGCACTAAAATCGTGCTCAATTTTATGAGAATGTTTAGTATGAGTATTTATTTTGCAGTTTTATCGCAAGAAAAATATGTAAAATGAATGCTTTTTTCTCTTTTTATAATAGCACAATGCCACCTATTGTACTCTAATTCATAACCCAAAATTATACTGATAGCAAGCACAAACATGACAAAAAATAATTTTCATTTGCAGATTACCAAAGTCAAGTTTAGTCTTTAAAGGTGACATCGGATACAATTTTCACATTTGTAGATTATGTGTTTCGTTGTTTTTAGTAATAGTGTAGTAACTGTCTGATCATATATACAGTTGAAGTCAGAATTATTAGCCCCCCTGTTTATTTTTTCCCCAATATCTGTTTAACAAAGAGAACATTTCTTCAAAAGATTTCTAAACATAATAGTTTTAATAACTCATTTTTAATAATAATGACAGTAAGTAATATTTGACTAGATATTTTTCAAGACGCTTCTTTACAGCTTAACGTGACATTTAAAGGCTTAATTAGGTTAACTAGGCAGGTTAGGGTAATTAGGCATGTTATTATATAATGATGGCTTGTTCTGTAGACTATCGATATATATATATATATATATATATATATATATATATATATATATATATATATATATATATATATATATATAACTTAAAGAGACTAATAATTTTGGCCTTAAAATGGTGTTTAAAAATGTTTTAACTGCTTTTATTTTAGCCGAAATAAAAACAAATAAGACTTTCACCAGAAGGAAAAATATTATCAAACATACTGTGAAAATGTCTTTGTTTTTTTTAAACATTATTTGTAATATATTAAAAAAAGAAAATACAATTCAAAGGGGGGCTTATAATTCTGACTTTATATAGGCCATAGATGACCTACAAACTACAAACTTTGCTTTCCCCTCATATCTCTTTTTGTTAACAGATAGCAAAGTGCCTAATGATGGTGTTTCGTTTCTCTGCGTTTGAATAATGAAGCATTATTGGCATCCAGTCTGATCTGTGTGTTCAGATATTGAGTCTCACAGAAATCCTCACACAGAATCCCAGATTCAGAGGGAAGGGAAGGGAATGTCCCAGACAGAATGGGCAATAACTTGCCTGTGCGCAAAGCTTTTTCCACCAGTCTGCTTTACTACTTCAGGCAATGCAAAGCATGACTAACATCAAAATTGCATTTAAAGGATGTTACTATTCCCCAATAGATCCCCAATAGTATCTGGATGCAGCTTTTATGATGCAAGCTGAGACTGCATCATTCAACAATGCAATGTCAGACACAATGCACTCAAATGGAGAGAGTGACGTCACTGTAAGGGGTAGGGTTAAGGGGTTGGGGTTAGGTGAGCCCATTAAAAAGTTCAGATTGCACTGCACCATGTCTGCATCCAGACCCCTCTCTACATCCTTGCACAATTACTCTGCACAATTAGTCTGAAAGATGTAGCTATTATTATACAGCTATAATTATCATTTGTGTTGGTTAACAAAAGTTCAAGGCTTAGTTGAGCGCTGTGCGTCTGCTGTGCAGGTTCAACTTCAGCTGCTCCAGGATGAGACTGGACCAAAATCATTCTTGATCCAGCAGCCTATGACCATGTCCACACATATAATGGCATTGTTTAAACCATTTTCTCCACCTTAGTGTTTAGAAAAATCTCTGTCCACATGAAAACACAAAAAGGCACTGTGATGTGAACCATGTGTCAGCAATAAATTTTTTTTATGCTGGGTTCACACCAAATGTGGAAATAACTATTTGCACAAGCACATTAAACTCAAGTCAACACAAATGTCACTAAAAAGGTGGAGTACCATTTTCTGTGTTTGGAGTGATTTTATAACCATGTTGGCCAATAAATGAACATAAGAATTATCACATTGATACATATCTTTCCTGTCCTCTCATCTGTTGTTAAAATGTGCTAAAATATCCTTGGGTATTAAACAATGATGGCAAAAAACTACTTAAGTAAAGCACAATGCATAATTAATTTATTTTAATTTAACTTACGGTTCTCTTGGTTTATTTATTTATTATTATTATTATTTTTGCTAATCTTGCATAGCCAGACTTTCAGACTGTCTGGGAAGCATGACCAATTTGAATGGACTTAATCAGGAAGTGATGATTTTGTTCACTTTGTCTCGTTGGATGGAAACGCTGCTTGATTCGCACATCTTTTATACGATAATCCAGTTTTTCACATAAATTTAATTCGCATTTCTGGATGGAAACATAGCTAATGGCTCTACAGTATTTAACAAATGCTGCATGATAAATTGCCGCATATCTGGAAGCACGTGCTAGAGTTAAAGTATAACCAGCTTTGCGGTCAACATACACATGAAAACAGCCTTCGATTGCTTGTCCAGTCCTCCAGTGAGTATACACAATTAAAATAGCAGTGAATTTTACCTATACAAAAATGTAGGTAGAGGCATGAATTTCTAGTGAGGCTTGTTGTTATTAGCCCACATACAGTGACTCGATGGCTAATGAGATGTTTGCGCCACTAGTTGAGCAATTAAGCTAAATGAGTTCTTTTATTGTGTTACTTTTATTACGTTAACAATCTCCATAATTGACAATGTAAGAGTTTTCTCAGCAGAATAGTTCACAGGAGTGCTGGTGCATGCACATAAATGAATTAAATGATGAACATTTCATTTGGGTGAGCATCATTGATAGAGTCACCCACGAGGAGCCTGTCCAATCCACAGCTTGAAGTCCAGCATGTCTCGCAGAGCCAAAGCACATTGTTTATGTTCTCTGGTGAAGTGCTTTCAACAACGTCAAGGGCTCTTCTCTGTGGAAACAAGGCTCCATAGCAACCAGTGCACAGAACAATTCATTAGTAGTCATTTTAGTGGCTATTTAGTAGCTAAAACACCTACAGAGTGTATCTGCAAATGGAAATGAAACGGATCAACAAGCCATCGTGACCATAGATGAATCTCTAATGGCCCGTTTCCACTGTCACAAGGGACCAAAAAGCGTACCATACCACTTTTTGAAAGGGTACCTAGCACAACAAAACAGTACCGAAGGGCAAAGCAAGATGAGCAGCTGAACGCTATTGGTTTACAGAGACATGTCACTAGCTCGTGCACAAGCCTGGAGAATGAAAACAAAGGACACGCCATTTTTAAATACACAGCAGAGACATCACACCATAATATATACATTTAATAACATGCCATGGTCGACCCAAGCTTAAACAAACCTTGTCGCTGTCTTGATGAACAGCCACAAATAACAAACTTCTTGAGCTGATGATAATAATGTGTACGTGATTATTGAAGTGCTTCTGACATCCGATCCTTTCAGAAACAGACAAACCCGTGAGTGAAGAGCCATAAAACAAAGGAGAAGCCAGAAAAAAACAAAGGAGCAAGTGATCCTTTCACTCGGAATGACAGAATTACTTTTTAACAAGAGGTTATACATGCTGGTGATGATGCAGATGAGAGGTTTGCACTGACTGTGGGCTAGATGTTGTGTCTTGTTTTTGAACCCAAAAAAGGTCTAAATGTATGTTGTGTGTAGTTTTTGTAATTGGTAACATATCAGAGACTGTAAGGGTCTGTATGTGTCTATATATGTTGCATTTATTTATTTATTTCATATAAGTTCAGACGTTACAGTGGGCTATTTAACATCATCAAAGGCCGGAAAGAGCAAAACAACATTACAAAGTGTGAAACACTTTTACGAATCATTTCGAAAACATTTTTACCTAGTATAGGACACAATTATATAGGAAAAGCAATTTTACCAAGAACGAAACAAATTTTTAATTTTAGAAAAAAAAAATTAACAAGATGCAAAACACTTTTACCAATCCCAAAAGAAATTTACAATGACAGAATCTTTATGAAAGGGAATGTACCACACACCGGAAGTGAAGCAGAATGTACCACACACCGGAAAATATCCGCTTGTGTGTGATTTTGTAGACACAGGTTAACATGAGTCCATGGGATACAAGTTAACACGAGTCCAAAGACACATGTTAACATGAGTCTACAACTATAAAAATCATGGTTTGACCAACTTCGATAAACATTGTTTTGTCATTTAGAGCTATTCTGAGAAAATATTGGCGTGATAGTTTGTAGAAGCATGTAAATGTGAGTATATGGAAACAAGTTAACATGAGTGCACAACATATAGTCGAAACCAGAAGTTTACGTACACTCTAAAAAAGTCTAAAATGTCTAATGTCTTAAAATTTTTAAAATGTCTGATGGTAAATCATACTAAACGTTTACTATTTTAGGATTACCTAAATGATTTCCATTTGCTAATTGCCAGAATAATTTGAAAAGTTTTTGGAGAATATTTCATTAATTTCTAGACAGTCAAAAGTTTATATATATTTCCTTGATTTTTTTTTTATTTATTTATTTTTTTTAGCTTTGCTTTTAAACTGTATAACTTGGGTCAAATGTTTTGGTTATCCTTCCACAAGCTTCTCATAATAGTTTGAAGGAATTTTGGCCCATTCCTCCTAATAGAATTGGTGTAACTGAGCCAGATTTGTATAGGCTGTCTTGCTTTCACAAGCTTTTTCAACTCTGCCCACAAATTTTCTGTAGGATTGAGATCAGGTCTTTGTGATGGCCACTCCAAAACATTCACTCTGTTGTCCTTAAGCACAGTTTGGCAGTATCCTTAGAGTCATGGTCTGTTTGGAAGACCCATTTGTGGCCTAGTTTTAATTTCCTGGCTGACTTCTTGAGATGTTGCTTCAGTATTTGTACATAATGTTCTTTCTTCATGATGCCATCTATGCTGTGAAGTGGACCAGTCCCTCCTGCAACAAAACAGCCCCACAACATGATGCTGCCAACCCCATACTTCACAGTTAGAATGGTGTTCCTAGGCTTGTAAGCTTTCCCCTTTGTCCTACAAATGTAACAGTGGTCATTATGGCCAAACAGTTCAATCTTAGTTTAATCTTAGTCCATCAGACCACAGGACATGTCTCCTGGTAAGTTGCCACTGTGAT